CGAGTTGGTCACGAATGCAACAACAGCTGCCCCTGTGACAAGTTCGTACTCGTGAGTGAGTGAGTTAGATGAACTTTTTGTGGCTTTAAACAGTATTCCAGTCATATACCGTATGTATGCTTATTGTGGAAGGAAAGACCTAAATGATGTAGGTTTCACACGTTTGCCACTTTGGTGCAGCCCAAAAGGGTATTTTTAAGTTTGTCAGCACCACAGCCAATCTGAGCGAACTGGGATACGAACCCACTATTACAGGTTTCTGACGCGTCAAAATGACTGAGCACTGAGCCGTCCATGACCCCTTGAAGAAAAGCTACTATGTAAGTACGACATTAATCCACTCCATTCAACATCCAGTCATTGTTTTTCCAACAAACAGAAATACAATGATAGTATTCCCCTCATGACTAATCCAGGATGTGCCTACACTAACTTCTTGACAATCACAAGGATATTAGGTGGAACTCAAGCAACATCATGCCAGGACGCACCAGGATTTGTCAGTATCAACGTTGAAGTTCCCGGTAGTTATCCTCTGCAAATTTGTTCTGCTGTCTTAGTCTCCACCGACACCGTCTTCACTTCCGACTTCTGTGTTGCACAGCTGGCTGCGATTCCAGAGAACGTGTAGTTACTACAGCCAGAGTAGCATCTGGTTACATTAGTTCCTGTTGATATTAGACCCGTTAAGATCCGGGTTAAAATTGGTCTTCAGAAACTGATGATTGTCGTCAGAGGCGACTAACAGGATCGGGTGGTCAAGGTCGTTGACTTGGTTGACACATGTCATCGTGTCCAAATTGTGTAGGTCGATGCTCATGCTGTTGACCTCAATTATTTACAGACCTCCGCCGTATCACTGTTGTATTGCTGAATGTGGCGTTTCTGAGTGAGTGAGTGAGTTTACTCCACCATGCCCTGTAAGAATGGAGGATGGGGTCGCGTCGTGATGTGTTTGGGATGTACTGGACCACATCGGTTCACATGTGACTTATATTCAGTGCACACTCACCAACAATCTTGTAAAATATGATGACAAAACGTAGAGAAGGAACTCAGTTTGTGAAATCATCTGGTCATTTATTCATTTCAGAACATTCACCGTTGCTGTCAATGACTTTAACGGCAATAAGGTGGCCGAAATTCCAGGAAGGACAGGAACAGGTGAGAAACCGTTTATACTTGCGTTTACAATTGAAAGTATTACCTGTCCACCCCACAGTTACAAAAACCTTTATCAACCAATAGTTGATATAAGGTCCCTTGTACCTTTTGCTCGTGTAATACTCCTGTTACACACAGTTGATCTGTCATGGTGCCGATGGTAAGAGTGGGCTGACTACCTATTGTTACGGTTAATAATTTGCCGTGCCCTTTGAGCCAGCAAAATAAAACACAGACAAGTCTAAAATATTCAATAATATTGGGGTTTTCCGATAGCAAACCCAGGGCTTCTATACAGAAGATAGGGTTTTCGACAAGTGGACTTTGACATCAAATAGAAGCCCGGGCTTATATTCGGAAACATGGGCTTCTATTCGAATATTTTTTTTACAGTGATAATCATATGGACTAAAATGTCATAAGGCAACAAGTGAAGGAAATCTTTTTAATATTACTTTCACGAATATTGCAATAACTATGCAATGAAACGGAACGCATACAAACTCTAATATATAGTACAGTTGTAAACCGATGCTTATCATTGCCAGTATGGACAGCATCGACGTTTTTGTTGCCAATTAAATCCATCATTGTTCCTGTCGTCATGTCTATATAGCATGGCGTTTCATCCATGTTGATCCCCCGCCGTGATGTTGCTGGAATATTGCTAAAAGCGGCGTAAAACCAAACTCAGTCAGTCAGTCAGTCATCCATGTTGAGGATATGAGCAGCATCGTAACCCAACGTAAGCTGTTCTACGCCGCGAAGGTGATCCTGTATGATTGTCTTGATAACAACATGATCTCGGTTGTCTTGCTGACCCTGATGTCTGCTTTTAATGTTGTGTCATTGACAGAAATTGTAGATCCTGTTGTCACTAAAACTAATCGAACTGGTGCCAAGTTCAAGTTCACGTTCAAGTCGGAGAGCTTGTTACCGATTCTCTTGTAGTTTACGATCATTTTCTCCTTTCTCTGTTCCTTGAACCACGCATACAGACATTGTTCCAGTTCAGGGAGTGCTGCGCCAAGAAATCTCTTTGGCGACTGTGCCGACTCCACAAATTTTGAGTCGTTTTTAGACAATTCTCTAAGCCGTTTCCTATCAATTGCCAGACCCCTTGATGCAGAGGTCAGATTACCCCCATACTCAAGCTTTACCTTCTTTCACAACATCAAGTTTTTCTTTGATAGTGTAAGACCTCCGCTTGAACATACTGACTAAAGATGAGACAACAGGCAAAATACGAGACAGTTTTTCAACGTCACTAGTAACGCCAGTGAATATGTATAACACTTGTATTTCAAGACCACCTTGAGGTAAATAAGTCCTTATTTATCACCTGTATAGGCAGATCGCCACCTCTCTTTAGAAAGTAGTTAAACACTTGGCTCTGTGCTTTAGGTGCATGTCCAACTATGAGATGACCACGTTTTACGGTTACAGCGTAACGATCGGCATAATTTAGAACATCACGTTCAGGTGTCCCAAATGTTCTATAAACGTGAAAATCACGAATAACACTTTCAACAGCGTAAACAGATATGTTCGTCATGTCAAATATAGGAAGAAATAACATGGACTATTTGTATTGTAGAAAGGGGAGGCTACTCTCATGTGAGTGGGTGAGTGAGTAAATATTTAACGTCACATCAGATACTCTCATTTGACACACGTTTGAATTAAATAGAAGCCCATGGAACTCTATTTAGAAAAAAAATCCGAATACATGGGCTTCTAAACGAGAGGGCTTGCTTTCAGAAAACCTCGGATATTGAATAAACAATGAGCAAGCCACAATGAATGACAACACAGATATCCAGTACAAGGCAGTTGAGTCACAAATCTAAAATATTGGGTCACAAATATTAGATATTAACTCACCAGAGTCTTGACATTTACAGTGATAGCAGATATACTGATTGAAGGTTGGAGAAGACGAATAGGCAAGCACGGCCAGTCTTGAATGTAGGTCAGCTTGACGATGGCAGACAGATGTGTATAAATCCAGTCATGTGAAAAGTCGCACAACAACCAGCCTTTATATAGCTCTTACACAGTTCTTGAGCATTCTAGCAAAGCTAGGCTCCATCATTATTCTCTCAGAACGCCATGGAACCATGTGGAACACACGACGTGACAAGACCCGGAAGTCAAAACAAAATAAAGCCAGCCAAGGGTGGCAACTCTAAAGAGCTATCAAATAAAGGCGTACCGTTAAAAATACTATTACCATTGAACATATATGATGCGAGATGCGAGCCAAAACCCACACTCAAAACTTTAAACATTGTGGCCCATAATAATTATCAGTTAATCCATGATATAATTATAAATTACAACCCAAAAAACACCCTCTTAACACTATATATTTCGGGCATATGGTAGCTATATATATAACTGGCTTGTATAGTTTCAAAAACTGTGCAAGGGATTGTAAAAGCAAAATTACTGTTTGTAATTATATTGTTTGCAATGATTTAACTATTGGTGACCTGTGAAGATCGGGTTAGAATTGGTCTTCAGCAACCCATGCTTGTCATAAGAAGCGACTGGCGGGATCGGGTGGTCAGACTCGCTGACTTAGTTGACACATGTTATCATGCATGTCTTAACTGAATTGTCAGGTCAAGACTCGATTACTTACAGACTGCCGCCATATTGCTGGAATATTGCCGCATGCGGTTTTAAACAACAAAGACAACTGTTGTCAACTGTTTCTAGGATTGTTTCCCCGTCTACTATCATACCTCCGCTCTCCACCCCTGCACTCTCCACCCCTGCACTCTCCACCCTACGCTCCCTGTTTCATATTCCCCAACCCAGTCCACCCCTCGCCCGCTAGCCAAACCTCTGGAAGCATACTCTATATTAATACAACAGGCAACTTTAAAGGTGGTCAGTTAGAGTTTTAGTGAGTGAGTTTAGAAATATTCCAGCTATATGGTGGTTGGTCAGTTAGAATAAAAGTAAACGTAACTAGAAAGTGTTCTTACTCCCCCTTTCCCCAATACAACGTTGAGACTCCAAACAATTAATTTAATTCCTTCAATTTCAAAATCTCTAAGTATGAAAATACATATTATTGATAGTTCATGGTGTTTTATAGTAGTACATGTATATGGTTGATGCTTCTAAGCTTACTAATAATTGGTATTAAGTACACAAAATTTTGTGAAGATGGATGAAGTGGTTTTAGAGTTATGCTCCGAACACAAACCCTACCCTTCAATAAAACCAAGCCCAAATTTGTTGCCACTGAAACAAAAAAAAATATAATTGAAAGAAAAGTTCAAACTCCCAAAAGGCACATCTACATGATATGGAGGGGCAGTATAGCAAATATGGTGAAGATGGGTCAATTAGTTTCAGAATTTTGCTCAGTAAACGTACTTTATCCTTCAAAAAGACAAAGTCCAAATTGTTGCCATGAAAACAGAAAAAATGAAATTGAAAAAAAACTCAAACCTCCAAAAGGCACATCTACAAATTTGGTGAAGATTGTTCAAGTAGCTTTAGAGTTATGTTCCGGAAACAATGGGAACGCCGACGCCGACGGAAACTCAGCCAAAAACAACATGTCACCTTCATAATACAACATAATTACTAATTAAATTGAGGGATAAACTTTTGACAAACGTTCAGTTACTTTTCGGAAACATCCTGGTATCTCATTGTATGTTCACACATTGTACCCGTGTGAGTAATGGAAACTCGGGAGTTTGGCCTGAGGAGCGAAAGCTTTAACCACTAGGCTACCCAACCGCCCCTGCTATAGCAGGCTCACTACCGCGCTGACTCATCCAACATATACATTGTAACATCATCTGTTTCAGGGCGATGCAGGAGGCCCACTGATATGCCCTGACCAGACAGGTCAGCTGATTACAGCGGGGCTTGTTGCCGACATGCCGCCAGTGTGTTCCGGCCCTCCAGAGTTCATCAGTCTCTTGCCTGATACATTCGACTCCTCTGTACTCCCAGCTTATTAAATACACTTATTGTCTCTTGTCCCTTGTCATTTTGATCTCCGGTTTGTGTGAGTGAGTGAGTATGGTTTTACGTCGCTGTGAGCAACATTCCAGCAATATCACGGAGAATATCACCAGAAATAGGCTTCACATATTATTCCATTGCATTATGTTCACAGAATTTAATTTTTCGTTAAAAAAATTTGGACATTTGTTTCTCTGCTTTTTTACACACCTTAGGCTTTACTTTCTTCCGAAAACAATGTTTCCAAATTATCACTTTCTCTTAAAGTGAATAAAACTACATTACAGTTGGCACCTTGAAGTTCCTTCCCAGTTATCGAAGCATAATTAGTTGTGTGAGATTACTGCTGAAATGAGTTGTCTCCCTTTGTGACCCTGTCCTATGAAGTCAACATGACTGACAAAACATGAAGATTTGAAGACAATTTGGTACCAGTGGATATCAAGCATGACTTGAAGGTCAGTATAACAATATACAATTTAACAATATACCCAAGTGTAGAATCGAACCCTGGCCTTCGGCGTGACGAGCGAACGCTTTAACGACTAGGCTACCCTACCGCCCTATTATCAGAAGTGAATAAGCTAACAGCATTGTAAGATTCCAATTATGTCACAGATGCATGTGCACTAACTACTATCAAATAGTGAGAGAGTGAGTGAGTGAGTATGGTTTTACGCCGCTTATATTCCAGCAATACCATGTCGGAGGACATTGGCTTCACACCATGTACCCATGTGGGGAATCGAACCAGGGTGTTCGGCGTGAGGAGTGGACGTTATAACCACTAGGCTCCCCCACCGCCCCCTATCCAATAGTGATAGGAAGCGGTGTTTGCTGGAAGGTCAGTGTATTGTGCCTCGCCTTTGATGCGCATCACAAACACTTCCACGGGCAAGTCAAGTTTCATCTGGAAAAGAATACGTAAAAAATTCTGCAAGTTAAACCACGTCGTTTGATTCGCCGCCTCTGTGGAAGTTACAAATAGATCAGTTTATAATGCTAGAAATACTTTTTATCTCAAAGGTACCATTTCAAATTTCATGATATTCGACAAGAGTAGATTATTATCTGGATATACATAATTGTCCCCTGCCGCAACGCGGAACAGGGGACTATGTATTCAGCAGCGTCCGTACGTACGTACGTCCTGATTCTTGTTAACGCAATATCTCATTAACTGCTGAACCTAGTGTCTTCAATTTTGGTGACAACCTACCTACATTGGGGGATTACGCAGACACCAGTCGATTTTGGTGACCTTGACCGTATTTTCAAGGTCACCACGACACTTCGACCACTTTTCAAACTCTTGTTAACGCTATATCTCATGAACTGTTGTACCCAATGTCTTCAGATTTGGTGAGAGCCTACGTTGGGGGATTATGTAGTCACCAGTCATTTCAGGCATCTTGTATGTGACAAAAAAATAAAAAGCAGTAAATATGTTATAAATATTTAATTCTTTTTATTGCGGCTGGGGGCATTGCCATATTAATTTTGCTTTGATAGTAGAAGCTGGTTTGGACGATGCTCTTTTATATCATTTCATGATATTTGACAAGAGTAGATTATTATCTGGATATACATAATTTTGCTTCCTGCTTCCCAGAAGCTTAGTGGTCATGGACAATGCTCTGTACCACAGGGTACAGGACCTGCTTTGTACGGAATTATTAAGGCAAAAAAAACTAACCCCTTGTATGAGGTTGACCAATACTTACCCCCTACCATTGTGACTTTAACCCCATAGAGCTGGTCTGGGGTATTAAGTCCGAAGTGGGAAGAAATAACACCACCTTCAAACTTGGTGATATTCAGAAACTGTTTCAATTCTTTATTCAAGTGAATGTAGGCCATCGGCCCATGATACAAAGTTATACATTAGCAGCCTTCAGCTGGAGCGACGACGATTGTTAGCATAGACGATGAACATGGCAAGATTTCTTAAAACCAGAGGAGTAGCATTACTCATCAGTCGGTTAAATTTACACAAAGTTGGATGGGTGAAAGCATCGACAGGGATAAAACGTTTACGTAGATCGTCATAAGCAGTACATATCAATAAGAAGTGGTACTCATTTTCTACATAATTAAAGGAACACATTTCACACAATCTTAAGATTTTGGTTTATCTATATATCTACCAGTTTCTATATTCAATTGGCGTGAACTACGCCTGAACTTCGCCAAGGCAATACGAAATTTCTTGATAGTTATGCAATGGAGATATGGTTCAACACCAAAAATAAATTTAAATTGAGAATTAGACAACGAGGAATGTCATTCCTGTAAATATATGTTTTGGGCTCTAGATGTGAATTCAGAAATACAAAAGTTTATATTAGCAATAAATTGATTTCCCCATACGTATCCAAAACCCATTGTATACTATACAATAAGTTTTTCAATTTTGATACCCAGTTAATTTTACCGTTTGAAGCATCTAACAGTAATAAATTATAACATTTCTTAGGAAAACGTGTAGAAGGCATATTTAACAGTTTGTACCAATACATAATACAGCGTTTGCACGAAAAAATACACATAGGGTATCTCCCGAATTCGCCATGTACAACGTGGTTGGGGGTACATCGTCTAACACAGAGTAAATGTTTACAGGCTAAGGTATGAACTGTTTCAATAGATGAATTAGAATCGCAGTCTGGACCCCATACTTCGTCACCATAAAGCAGAATAGTCATTATTTTAGTGTAAAATATTCTGAAGAAGACATCTCATTTGTGTTCAAATGTTGTTACATTTTTCAAAATACCAAACAAAGCCTATTGGATTGTAAAGTAGAGCTCTCAAAATGTTTATGTCATGACAATGTTTGTGAGAATACTATTCCCAAATATCTATATGAAGAGATACAATCGATCAATTCACCTCCTAAATACCATTTTTTATGCTTAGTAAGGATGTTACCATTTCTAAACACAACAAGTTTGGATTTATCTAATAGCTTATCATATAGCTTATATTCCTTCCAATGCTGTTCAAGGACAGCAATACGTTTTGAAGCCCATAGATGGTGTCAGAGAATAATACAACATCATCAGCAAATAGAAGGAGAAAACAGCTCTGGATGTAACTGTATGCCCGGATAACACAACGACTCTATACTATCAGTTAATCGTTTATAAAAATGGAAAACAAGAAGGGACTCAAAACACAGCCTTGACGAACTCAAGTATTACAATCAAGCAGCTGTGGAAAAGAATTATTGACTTTAACGTAAGATTTATTTTAACTGTAGATGGATTTGATGCAACCTAACATCTTGGGTGATAATCCTTTCTGTTGCAAAACTAATCATAATTTTGACCTAATTACCTAATCAAATGCTTTCGAGAAATCGACGAAGAAAGCATACAATTTACTCTTTTTTCGACAGAATTCTTTGTGTAATAGAATTAAGAATAAAGATGTTGTAACATACATTCCATCAGTAACACCTCGCAAGAAACATGGCAGAAATGTGTTGAAAATGTGGAAAAGGATATTGAAGCTAAATACTGGCAAGAGAGTGGTTTAGACCATGCCACCATGAGGCCAGTCATAGTCAGAGTGGACTCTGACAGCAGTTGTTCAGAATCAGAGTTGGGTTCAGACGATCCCTCTGAAGATGACTTTTGAAACGTCCCCCCTTCAAACGATTGCGGCCGTCTCAATCCTTTCTCGCAGACCCAGTCTAAGTAAACTTAGGCTCAGTATTATTCGTTACACTGCTATACCGAGTCTAACTAACCCTAGTAGAAGGTCGCGTCAGCTAATCTTTTGGACTGACCAATCAGAACACAGCTTACCAAATCGCGAAAGTTAACATTCGCACATACCATTTGAACCTTTACCTCAAAAAACTCGAACGATTCCGAATGCTATTTTCCGCACGATCGCTTCCGAGTGATACACATGGAGGGCGCAATGAGTAAACAGTCACTGAACATAGCGTTTTCGTAAATATTGAAGGATGTCATTTTGCTGAAATATAAGCTAATAGTAACCATGTCATTAGATAGATTAGTGTCAGCGACCAGGGAAGAGAAAATCCAAAAACCGTTTTGTAAGTCCCGACGAACCCTAACAAGTAGTCGTTGTCGGATTGGCCGTCTCGCGTTTGATTGGACGATCACAGGTCGCTCAAAGGTTAGTTGACGCGACCTTCTACTAGGGTTTGTTAGGCTCAGAATAGCAGTGTAACGAATAATACTGAGCCTGAGTATACTTAGACTGTCGCACACCTCGCTGTTCCTCTCTTTGCACTCCTCCCTCGTAAGAAATAGTGAACTGTGACAATATATTAATGATAGTTTGTACAACAACTTCATTTTTGTTCGGACATAAATCCTGCAAAACACTCACAGAGTTGGCCTGATTTTGATTATGATCAGCGTTTCATTGAGTATTATATGTTTAGTGGTTTTCGAGTCATGTTATTTAACGATTATTACTTAATATTTCTTTAATTATTTATATAATAGTAATTTTACTTTTAAATACTTGTACCATATTCAAAATTGAGAGGCTCTTTAGATAGTATGATGGCAGAAATGTATTTCTAATATCAATAACACACTTTCGCAAATACAAAAATACAAATACTCGTCTCCAATATTTTTAGATTGGCGTAATGAACATTTTCCCTCTAACAGAGATATGTGTTCACTCCGACCAAGATCAACTGGTAGTCGGTGGTTTGAAAGTCTGCATTGTATTTATGTACAGTGTATAAATACATTTATTTGACAGATTTTGTAAACAGAATTCATTTGAAATAGCTTCCTTGTTTCAATAGTATTTTCTTATATAATTTACCCCTGATGAGGAAAATCTCCAGATCCCAAGTTTGGGATATATTGGTTTTCAAAACATCACTCAGATAATATTTATAATAAAAAATGTACACAGTATGAAAAGTCCAAATACCGTTATTACCTGTCTGGAAGAGTATACTTTCCTTCGGGTACTCAAACAGCACAGTATCTTAGTGGACATTTAACAAATATTGAAAATAATGATCTTATTCCAACACAAGCTTACAAAATCGCGGCATACCCACTTTAGTGTTCCTGAAGTCATCGTAAAGCCATTTTAAGGTGACCTCTCAGCCAATGCATTATCACTGTGTGGAAACTTCACAGACCATATCCAGCCCCTGCCATACTAGGTTGCCGTCAACACCTGTTTCTGTAAAAGAACATAGAAATCCGATGTATATTTGTATTTAATGAACAAATACAATTGTACAGCTGATTACTGTGTACATTAATGCCAGACAAACTCAACAGGTAAACAAAAGCATATACTTCTGTTTGTTATTGGTTCGGCGTTCCTAACACACCTGGTGTGGGATTGTCACAGACGGGTAACATACGGTAATTGACAGGACAGGAGTGTGGATTATAATTCTTTTTTATATGCTGGAGTCATTTCTATACAATATATGTATACGGAAACCATGTGCACTTTCACAAATTGAGATCCAATGTAATTCAACTGAATGTGCATAAGACTTTCAAAAGTTAGATACATATATAAGCAGAAAACTATTTCTCGCATTTTAATCTAAGGTGTATTTTCTTCAGTTTATTGACACAGGTTGGCTTACTAACATACCATGAGCCTTTTTTATATCGTACTTGTTCTTTGTTACACGGTGCGCTCAGTAATATTGCAACTGTATGACAATAGTCCGTGAAAAATCGAGTGTGGGCCAGAAAATCCAGTGACTGTCGTTAGCAGCATCGATCTACACAATCGGGAAACGATGACATGCTACAACCAAGTCAGCGAGCCTGACCACCCCGATCCCATTAGTCGCCTTTTACACGCATGAGTTGAAGACCAGTGAACTCATTTATCTTCCTTCTTCATAAAAAAAATATTTATTTTTATAATAATATATATTTTTTAAACAAATATAATACTTATTTAATTAAAAAAAAATCAGTTTCAACCAACTACAATGAAAAGGTACAAACTATTTACTTCATATAACATATGCTATATTTGGGATTACACTTTCTTAATAAAGTACAAATTCTAGTACTGTAGCTCTGTAGTTTTATATTGATCACTTTTTCGGCCGGATTGGACTCAACCCCAAAAAAGTACTAGAATTTGTACTTTATTAAGAAAGTGTAATCCCCAAAACAGCATATGATACATTTGACCACTTTCTAAAATGGCATTGTGTATTTCATGTTTACTTCATTTATGCAAATACCAACAAGAAAGCGTTTGCTCGTCATGCCGAAGGCCCGGGTTCGATTTCACACAAGGGTACAAAACGATACTCAGCCAGTCAGACAGTCCGAATCACAGCTATAGCACAGCTACGACAGCTATTGTAGATCAATGGAATTTTTAAAATATTTTTTTAACCGTTTCAAGCAAATACATTGAATGAAAATCCAACTTTTTACTTCATGTATGTAAATACCACCAGTATGATAACCCGTAAAGGTTCTTTTCGGGTTTTTTCCCACTATTTTTATTCACATGAGTAGGTACATTCACATATAGGTACACATAGATCGTACATCATACAAGGTTGTACATGTTAGAGTCATGACACATCAGTCCATATTGAAAGTAATGGCAGCCATTTGCTCATATATTCATTTGGTTGGCTTTTCATTATGGCTACATATCTTTCAGCTTGAAAGATATCTTTCTAGGTAAGAATGAAGGATTTAAAAGACAAAGATTAATTTCTAATACTGTTTATAAATATAGCAATGTATGTTATATGTCACGAATAAGTGATAATTGAGTTTTAATTATGTTTGGTTTTGTGTTTTTGGTTGCGTGTGACCTTTAAGAAAACATTGCGAGAGTAATTAAACAGCTCAAAGTATTACATAAGAAAACATCTCAAAGTACAGGACAAAAAAACATCTCAAAATATTAAATAAGTAACAATCTCAAAGTATCAACTAAAAAAGCATTTCAAGAACAATACTCATTAACATGAAAAAACACACGATAATGTATCTATACGATAATTTTCTATGGCCGAATGTGGATCAAACAATCCAGTGACTAACGCTATGAGCATCGATCTACACAACTAGGATACGAAGACATGTGTCAACCAAGCCAGCGAGCCTGACCATCCGATCCCATTAATCCTTTTACAAGGATGGGTTGCTGAAGACCAGTTCTAACCCGGATCTTTAAAAAAGCAGGATGTAGGTGTGATCTGCTGTATGCCATCCATCGCGGAATACTGTTTTATGTACTCTGTATATATCATAGATTTGGCAAGATTTTTACCCAAAACAGTAATAAACAGTTTCTCTACGGAAGCATAAATCGACAACGAAACACTAATACGCCAATACAAGAGAAAAAACAGTCTCGATTATCCGGCGGAACAGATTCAGGTGGGCGTGGAATGAAAAAGAGCGTTCAACATTATATGAATGGACCACTTAAAATCAGTGAAGACGCCAGATATTATTCCTCCCTTATATCATATCAAATATGGAAATTTTAAAAATATATTTGATAATTTTTTAGTCTCCTCAAATGAATCTGATGGTTTCTTTCTTTGGTAAATACAACCGGTTCGATCGTCTCAAATGCCAATTTAACAGATGAATAATCAGACTGGTACAAATGTACAAATCTTAATTTTGTAACAAACTGATATTTGGTACATAAAATTTAGGTACTGTAAAGTTCAGGTTGATTCGAAAATGATAAAAGATATGAATAGATCGATCTGGGCTGATCTACTTTTCACCACAAGTAGACCAAGCTCTATCACTGTGTTTGTTTACCTGTCTGAGAAATGTCTTTACAAATTTGGCGAAATCTTTCGACCAAAACCGATTGCTAGGGACTGATATTAACCAGGAATATCCCACAGGATTATCATCATCATCATCATCATTTTGTATCATTATCAGAATTATTATTACAGAGCTTGCATTATACAAATGCAGCAAAGAAGTATCAGGTGATCCTGGTATATCATTAGTATAATCATCATCGAAATTATTATTGTTTTTATAATCATGTTTTAATGTTTGTATAAACTTAATGCAGGAAACAATTTTCAATTGGCATATCGTTAATATAATCATTAATATCAGCATCTTCAACTGGACACATAATTGTGTGTACACGTGTACTTAATAACTAAGAACTAGTTTACTACACTGTCAGTATGTATTCATAGTTTACTTCACTTCAAAAACACTCACATACCCTACATACGGTGTGAACTGTTTCCCGTGTGCCATGTGATGACTTGTACAAATAGATGGACATGAAATCTGCAAATATTACAAACAAATATTGGACTTAATGCTATTGGTCCTGACGTCACACAACGTTTTAAGGGAACAGTATATAATGCTCGACTTTGCCAGGAGCACTGAAAGGACGAGAGAACTTTTCAAAATGATGTCAGGTATTGTTCTCGCTGTGGCTGTTCTGGTCGGCACAGCCAGTGCATGCAGTAAGTCACCTCTTGTTTCTTTGTTTGTTTGTTTAACGCCGCACTCAGCAATGTTTTAGCAATATGGCGGCGGTCTGTACATAATCGAATCTGAACCAGGTAATCCAGTGATCAACAGCATGAGCATCGATCTGTGCAATTGGGATACGATGACATGTGTCAACCAAGTCAGTGAGCCTGACCACCCGATCCCGTTAGTCGCCTTTTACGGCAGGCATAGGTTACTGCTGATCAATTCTAACCCGGATCTTCACGGGTTGGATTGTGAACTGGTCAGGGTTTCACAGTACACTTGTAATGGTCAGACTAACCCAGTAATAAATACTCTTGGCACATTCCGGCAAAAGCTAAAGTATTGTATTGCCACTTATTTTCCTATTCAAAAGACTGACGCCGAAAATCGATGACATGGCTTAGGGACGCAGATCCAAACTCGAAACAATCTAATTGTGTGTTGCTCCAAACGGCAGTATGTAAATAACCTTGTCTGGACCAAGTAAATAACCTTATCTGGACCAACTTAATAACCTTGTCTGGACCAAGTAAATAGCTCTGTATGGACCAAGTAAATAACCTTGTCTGGACCAACTAAATAACCTTGTCTGGTCCAAGTAAATAACCTTGTCTGGACCAAGTAAATAACCTTATCTGGACCAACTCAATTACCTTGTCTGGACCAAGTAAATAGCTCTGTATGGACCAAGTGAAATAGCCCTGTATGGACAAAGTAAATTGTCTGGACCACCAAGTAAATACTGTCTGGACAAGGTCAACCTTGTCTAAGTAAATAACCTCTGGACCAAGTATATAACTCTGGACCAAGGATAACCTTGTCTGGACCAAGTAAATAACCTTATCTGGACCAACTCAATAACCTTGTCTGGACCAAGTAAATAGCTCTGTATGGACCAAGTAAATAACCTTGTCTGGACCAACTAAATAGCCTTGTCTGGACCAGGTAAATAACCTTGTCTGGTCCAAGTAAATAACCTTGTCTGGACCAAGTAAATAACCTTATCTGGACCAACTCAATTACCTTGTCTGGACCAAGTAAATAGCTCTGTATGGACCAAGTAAATAACCCTGTATGGACAAAGTAAATAACTTTGTCTGGACCACGTAAATAACCTTGTCTGGACCAGGTAAATAACCTTGTCTGGACCAAGTAAATAACCTTGTCTGGACCAGGTAAATAACCCTGTCTGGACCAAGTAAATAGCCTTGTCTGGACCAGGTAAATAACCTTGTCTGGACAAGGTAAATAACCTTGTCTGGACCAAGTAAATAACCTTCTCTGGACCAAGTATATAACATTGTCTGGACCAAGTAGATAACCTTGTCTGGACCAAGTAGATAACCTTGTCTAGACCAAGTAAATAACCTTGTCTGGTCAAAGTAAATAACCTTGTCTGAACCAAGTAGATAACCTTGTCTGGACCAAGTAAATAACTTATCTGGACCAAGTAAATAACCCTGTATGGACGAAGTAAATAACATTGTCTGGACCAAGTAAAATTACCTTGTCTGGACCAAGTAAATAACTTATCTGGACCAAGTAAATAACCATGTATGGACCAAGTAAATAACCGTGTCTGGACCAAGTAAATAACCTTCTCTGGACCAAATAAATAGCCTTGTCTGGACCAAGTAAATAGCCTTGTCTGGACCAAGTACATATCCTTATCCAGACCCAAAAAATAACCTTGTTTCGACCGAGTAAATAACCTTGTCTGGACCGAGTAAATAACCTTATCTGGACCAAGTACATATCCTTGTCTAGACCAAGCACATAACCTTCTCTGGACCAAGTAAATAGCCTTGTCTGGACCAAGTAAATAGCCTTGTCTAGACCAAGTACATATCCTTGTCTAGACCAAGTAAATAACCTCGTCTGGACCAAGTAAATAACATTGTCTGGACCAAGTAAATAACCTTATCTGGACCAAGTACATATCCTTGTCTAGACCAAGTAAATAACCTTGTCTGGACCAAGTAAATAACCTTCTCTGGACCAAGTAAATAACCTTGTCTGGACCAAGTCAATATGACATGTATCTTGTTATGTGTATTATCACCTTTGGTCAGCACGTGATTCGAGACGTTTTGTGCTTTCTCTACATACTAGTTTAAATATTTAGCTCGTATTTACTCAATCCATGATTGCACCAGTCTTTTACATTTCTTTTCAGTATATGACTGCGACTCTTTGTTTGGCGCCGCGCTCTGTCCTGAGTGTAGCGCAACGACGACCGAAACGCCACCTCCCCCTCCAAGTTGTATAGCAAACAACTTCGACCGAGCCTGTTGTGCCGCTGGTCAGTATATGAACGGGGTGTGGTGGGCGGGGAGGATTTTAAACAAAATTCACAGAACCTTCCGTCATATAGTCGATCCCAACGAAAGAAAATTCAATGTTTACTGAAGAATCAACTTTAATATTTGCACAAAAATGGAGGTTTAAATCTCAGTGTGCAGCTTTTTTGCGTATTTTGAATATGAGGTTGTTTTTTCGACGCTCGCTTTATGGACATTGTGTCATGGTAAAATTTGTGTCGGCTGTTTCAATTTCAACTTTGTAGATATACCATAGTTCTGTGGCTAAGCATCAAATTCGTGCAGCGTTGTAGGACATTTGTCTTGGTAAAAGCAAGATGTTAAGGTCATTTGGTGATATGGGAATCAACATAATGCGATTAAATATTGCTGGATACCGGTGTCTACTGCTGAGAAACTGCCTCCTACTATTTGATGCTAATTAGGCCAAGAAGTTGCAATGAGCGCCATACTGGTAACTGAAGCACTCTTCCACTTTGGAAACTGCTAAGTAAGAAATGATGTTCATTATAAAAGTTAAACAAAAACTGTCAAGTCGCCTTTTTTACAAAACCTGAACTAGTTATTTCTTTCCTCTTACAGATCCATCCACATGCAACGGTGTTGACTGTTCGTGTGAGCTTCCAGACTCCCCATACTGTGCAATCTGTAAGTTTTGTTTGTTAGTTTGTTGTTTTACGTCACACTCAACCATATTCCAACTATGTAACGGCGGTCTGTAAATAAACGAGTCTGGACCAGACAATCCAGTGATTTACATGACGTATTTGGGGAAACGATGACACGTCTACCTGATCCCTCTTGTTAGTCGCCTCTAACGACAAGCATAGTGAGTGAGTATGGTTTTACGCCCCTTTTAGCAATATTCCAGCAAAATCACGGTGGGGGATACAATGGGCTTCATATAGTGTACCCATGTGGAGAATCGAACCCGGGTCTTCGGTGAGTCGAGCGAACGCTTTGACCACTAGGCTACCCCATCGCCCCCGGTCCAAATTAGAAAGTAGGTGCTGCAATAGTGGGGTTTAAACAACTCAGTGCACACATGTCGACAGCACTTCAGACCAAGACGTCCACGTAGATGATTCAAGTATTTCAAAACAAAGTATTTGCAATGAAATTTCAAAAACGCCTTAATCTGGTGTTTAGTTTTATAGTTTATTACTAATATAGCTATTTGACATCTATTGGCATATATTAAATATTTCAAGTGGGACAAAAATAGGATAAGATAGGGGTGAAGTGTAAGAAAATGATCATGAATTTACAATCGAAATTGATATTGTTTTTCTTTTGAAACTTTTAGTCGGATGTACCCTGTATGCCGATTTTTGTTCACAATGCTTCACACCACCTACTACAACCACGACAGTACCAACGACGACAACCACAGCTGTACCTGTCTTCTGTCTAGGTGGTGGACGTGAGTGTTTTAAATCAAAACAATCCTCTTGCCTCTCATGTGAAGTGGGGTTTGCTAGTCACGTTTTGTCTCCCTGAGTTGTCCCAGGATCAGAAGTCTGACCTATTTATAACCATTCTCATATCAGCACTATATTCGTTTATTCGAAAAGACGTCAACGTTAGTTTTTTCCGTATTTTTTATTTTCTGCAATAAACAACGAAATACTGCTCAAACAAGGTTGAATACTCAACTCAACATTCCTGATTTCCAGTTTACTGTGCCTTTGATTTCTGTTGTCCTGCCGATGCCTGTGCACAACATGAAAACTGTTTCGGTAAGTGTATGTTTCATACTTCTCCGCAGGTATAATGCATTAGTCAGAATATGCACGTGTTGTTTTACTTTTGGTTTTCAGCATTTACAAACTATATCCAACACTGAACAAATATATGAAAAGGTGAACAGGTCCGTTTTTAGGGGTGAAACCACATTTTTGAGTGACACTGTTTTCAGTTATGGGTAACGTTATCAAGCAATTCCAATGTATCACACTTCAACCTGTTTTACAATGAAATGCTGCAGTATTGGTTTTGGTCACATGGAGCAAATTCATGTAATAATCTATGTATATATAACATCTGAATTAGCCATACCCTCCTTCAGTCAGCGTGAACATTTGTGATTATGGGAATCGGTAAAAATAGTGTATCTAAACACAATTTCTTCGATATGACAACAAGAAGTATGATTTACTTGGCCTATGTATACGGCAGTAACTAGCAATGGGGGTATTTTGTCGTGTATTGTACGTCACACAAAATGATTTAATGTTAGAAATACGAAAAACTATAGTACAACTTGTTTTGATTGTTTGCTAAAATCCTTTAACAAACCAAAGACTTTTGTTACTTTCAACACAAATAAATCAAAAGAACAATCAGATGTTACATAGAATTTTACCGTTATATTGGCAATTGATGAAACTTCAAACAAGAATTTCCAAATAGAATCTCAAACTAACAATGAAAGCCTTCATCTGGCATTTCTAGAATAAAAGACAACGTCAAGGAGTAATGCGACCTGGAAACATATTTAATTGTTCCATTATTTGTTATCAAATGTATCATTGTAAGGTAAGGAACATTTAATACGACTGTAACGTAAAATACATAACTGTTGCAGCTTTTGCCATTTTCAGAACACTACAAATACAAATAAATTAATTATATATCTTTAAGAAACGTTTAGTTACAAATGTTGGATAATATACTAGGCATTTCTGTTCATTTAACGCCAGTAAAATCTAATTGTATTTAAAGTTACAGCAACTGTACTTTACGTTACGAAAGCCACGTGGTAATTTCAGTATGTTTTTCATTGCCCAGAATGATTATACATCTCATTAGAGTATCTTCATTACACGCATTGATAAACGTTTAACAGTTTGACTTGTACACATATACGTACATATATTGTACAAGAATCATAAGATTGAAAGTTCAGTACCTGCATACTGATGATTTATCCCGTCAAAGCTTCAGATCATGAGCAGTACGCACATTGAAGTCAGCATGAATGAAGCAACTACATGTTTTCATGGCGTCATCAAATTTGTTAATGACGTATACACATTATGTAGTCATAAATAGCCATATATGGAACTGTACCGTTACGTAAAATACGTAACGTAAAATACATCAGTCATTATTATGAGCCACGCAAGTGAACAAATGAATATAGGAGACGGGAAAATGAACTAGGTTGCATACTCCTTACCAGATGATCACACAGATGTGCTCAGGTATGTATAGTATGACCAGAAATTATTGAGAATTTTAGGAATATGTTTAATTGGATTTCTATTATAAACAACCTTGACCAGCTGCCAAGTGCTTGGTTTCATTCAAGAGAGACAACTCCGTTAATCCTTTTTCATTAGTTTGTGACGAGTTATCCCCCTTTGTTTAGTTGCTAGCAGACGACATTTTCAGTGATCCTCAGTATGGATGATTTAGAGAAGAGGAAGTTGATTTTAGAGTATTATAACAAGGACATCAGATCAGCTAAAGTGATTTCAAGCAGAACAGGCATCCCTTTGTCCATTGTTTATCGTGTTTTGAAAAATATTGCAAATGGATATGGCATTGAGCACCAGGGATTCGCAGGTAGGCCCAGAAAATTGACTGTCGGTGACAGGAGGCGGCTTGGTATTCTTGTTTCTAAAAACAAACGAAGGAGTTTAGAAAACTTAAGGCTGGATATGATTAATAAAGGAACTGTTGCTGTCTGTAAGGAGACAATTAGAACTGAGCTGCATGCAATGGGTTGGCAGAAAAGTCGAGGAATTCCATCACCGATCATGAAACCTGAACAAAAGGTGGGAAGGTTGAACTGGTGCTTACAGCATTGAAATTTTAACTGAGACAATGTGATTTTCTCAGATGAAAGTTCTGTGTGGCTGTTTCCTAATACACTGAAGTTCTGGACCTAACAAACTGAAAAACCTTTGTATCAGCGCCCAAAGTACAGTCCTAAATTTAACGTGTGGGGTGGCATATCTGTGTTAGGGGCAACGCCCCTCTGTGTATTTAAAGGGAATATGAACAGTGAGCGGTACACAGATATTCTCCGACCGCCTCCGTGGTGTAGTGGTTAGAGCGTCAGCCCGGAGAGCGGAAGGTCGCGGGTTCGATCCCCGACTGCGTCATACCAAAAGACGTTAAAATATGGTACTTGTTGGTCCCTGCCTGGCGCTCGGCATTCATGGGTACAACAAGGACTGGTCGGCTCGGAGTCAGTATAATGTGTCTGATTGGGGTATTCATGCTTCACTGCGGCATGGTATATCAGTGGGCTAGCACTATAAAACCAGCCAAAGTCTGGGCTAGAAGAAGCAGCCGCACATACACATACACACGGATGCACGTCGCCATATGAGCGAAATATTCTCAAGCACGACGTTAAACCCAATTTCACCTCACCTAAAAGTTGCATGTCGGCAGCTGGTTTTATAGTGCTAGCCCACTGACATAGCATGCCGCAGTGAAGCTTGAATACCCCACTCAGACACATTATACTGACTCCGAGCCGACCAGTCCTCCGTAATTTCGCTTTCACTCATTCTCTGGCTGAATATTTGCATTTTTGTACAGAATTTGCACATTTTGGGAGCAAAGTACTCAGAAAACTGCTGAAAAGCATGGCCAAAAATTGAAAACAAAAATAACTGCCAAACGGTACGTTTTAGCGACTTGACCCGTCGAGGCAAAATTGTTGGGAATTCGATTGTGCATCTGTACAAGAGATTTGGAAGTGTTGGAACAATTAGTTCTTGAGATATTTGCTGTCAAACTTTGAAATTTTGGAATCAATTTTGAATTATCTCCAATTTGCTATTGGGCCTAGAGGGGGGAATATCTACACCTCGGTGCGCATCTGTGTTATTTTTTTGTAAGCGATTCGGGGCATTGGTTTAGGAGTTATGTTTGGTACAAAAATCGGCGGAATAATAAATAATAATAATAATAATAATAATAATCCGAACGATTACAATAGGTCTCCTGCCTAGAGGCAAGGAGCCCTAATTAAATCGAGAGTGTAGGTAGGAAAGCATTTTAATAGCATGGCTGTGTGTTGATCAGCAATATATAATCATACCAAATGTAGTACCAGAGACAACAACGGAAGAGGTAACAACAACTGAGGTGCCAACGACAACAGAGGAGGCAACAACGACGGAGGAGGCTACAACAGAGGAGGCAACAACTGAGGAGGCAACAACTGAGGAGCCAACGACCACAGAGGAGCCAACAACTACAGAGGAACCAGAGGAGCCGCCAACAACATCGGAGGAGCCCACGACGACCTTGGAGCCAGAGGATCCCCTAACAACATCAGAGGAGCCCACGACGACCGAGGAGCCCACCACGACAGTGGAACCAACGACAACCGAGGAGCCCACGACGACCGAGGCGCCAACAACAGCTGCCCCTGTGACAAGTACGTACTCGTGAGTGAGTGAGTGGGTGGGTGAGCGAGCTGGAAATATTGTCGCTTTAAACAGTATTCCAGTTTCATCCCGGATGTATGCTTGTGGAAGGTAAGACCTAAATGATGTAGGCTTAAGACGTTTGCCACTTTTGTGAAACCCACGAGGATGTTTCTACGTTTGTCAGCACCATAGCCAATCAGGGCATACCGGGATACGAACCCACTATTACAGGCTTTTGACGCGCCATAATGACTGAGCACTGAGCCGTGCATGACCCCTTGAAGAAAAGCTGCAATGTAAGTTCGACATTAATCCACTCCATACAACATCCAGCAATTATTATTCATCCAACAAACAACATGAATTCTTTGTGGTAAAAACATCCCACTTTTAGGGAAATAGTACAGAAATACAATGATAGTATTCTCCTCATGACTATTCCAGGGTGTGCCTACAATGACTTCTTGACAACAACAAGGATATTAGGTGGAACTCAAGCAACATCATGCCAGGACGCACCAGGATTTGTCAGTATCAACGTTGAAGTTCCCGGCGCTGATCCTCTGCCAATCTGTTCTGCTGTCTTAATCTCCACTGACACCGTCTTCACTTCCGACTTCTGTCTTGCACAGCTGGCTGCGATTCCAGAGTACGTGCAGTTACTGCAGCTACCGGAGCATCTGGTTACATTAGTTCCTGTTGATAGTAGACCCGTGAAGATCCGGGTTAGAATTGGTCTTCAGCAACTGATGATTGTCGGCAGTGGCGACTAACGGGATCGGGTGGTCAGGCTCGTTGACTTGGTTGACACGTCATCGTGACCAAATTGCATATATCGATGCTCATGCTGTTGATCATTAGATTGTCTGATACAGCCTCGATTATTTACAGACTGCCGCCAACTGTATTGCTGAATGTGGCGTTCCTGAGTGAGTGAGTGAGTTTACTCACCCCAGTAAGAATTGAGGATGGGGTCGCGTCGTGTTGTGTATGGGATGTACCGGACGACAATGGTTGACATGTGGTTGTTACATAAAGTGCACGCTCACCAACAATTTTGTAAAATATGACAAAATGTAGAGGAGGAATGCAGTTTGTGAAATCGTCTGGTCATTTATTTCAGAGCATTCACTGTTGCTGTCAATGACTTTAACGGCAATAAGGTGGCCGAAATTCCAGGAAGGACAGGAACAGGTGAGAACCCGTCTATGCTAACGTTTGTGAATCATTTAGTTTACCATGACTTTAGATAACTGTTGGTGAGCCGTGAAGATCGGATTAGAATTGGTCTTCAGGAACCCATGATTGTCACACGAGGCGACCTATGGGATTGGGTTGTCAGGCTTGTTGACTTGGTTGACACATGTCATCGATGCTCACGATCTAAATCACTGTATTGTTCTGATCCAGATTCGATTACTTACAACCCCCGCCATATAGCTGGAATATTGCAAGGAGCATCGCGGCGTGAAAAATCAACAAAGATAAGTATTACTATGTGAAGACGACAACTGACCATCCTGACAACGGCGCTGGTTCCGTAGTCTACCAATATACATAACAAAATCACAAAAACAAAGGAGCATCGCGTACAAAAATGTGAAACGTGAGTGATATTTAGCAATATTACAATATGAAAAAAGCCTTGGTACTTAGGCGTGACGAGCGTGTGGTTTCCTACATCAGACGGGCCAGTTTTACCCTCTTGACGCTCCCGAATGACCTTTGAATGCATTATTAAGAGATATTTGGGTTGGGTTCTTTACAAAATAGTTTTAACTAAAGGTACATCTGATTTCACTGTTCGATCCCTAATACTAACTTTTGCTTGTGTTGCATTTTTACATGAATACACCAAGTGAGTGAGTTTAGTTTTACGCCGCTTTTAGCACATATCACGGCGGGCAGATCGGAAATTAGTCTAACGTTTAGTCTCTGAATATATATATATAATATTGACTTACTTTGACTTAGTCCTCTTTACTCCTTGAGGAGCATAGGGCCTCAAGAGGTTTCTATTAACATGAATGGGTTGTTAGCCCATTTCACAACCCTCAACCTGGAGGACCAGGTGGGACGTTTTTCCTACCGACATAACTCCGAGGGTCGCAAAGGCTGTGCCACCGCAGCAAGGCGGATGCACAAAAGGACAACATAATATTGATAGTGACAAACACACCCATTTATATTGAAAAGGAGCCAAACTGAGTTGCGAGATTCAGGCTGGGAAAAACTAGACTTGCTTCATTTAGGGATTTAGCATTGCAGGGAGGGCTAGGGAGAAGGCAAAATAATGTACATTGTACGTATGTGGGGAATGTGTCTTCCGCCAATTTTGTTATAATGCCATCCTGTTATTATTTAAACTCCTCTCATGAATGGTGGTTGTTATTGATATTGATCACTGTTACATCCATCCATGCATGAATCCTCTTTCGGCTTGTGGACAAGTTGCTGCATGGGGGGCAGCGGGGTAGCCTGGTGGATACAATGACAGGCAATAGACCACAAAGCAGCCTCTTTCTACCCGCAACAGTCGCTGTGGACTAGTTCCTGCCCGAATCCTTTTTACGATTAGCAATGATGTGTTGGAGAAATCTACCCTGCTCCTATCGGCGACTTTGAACCTAGTATTTACTCTCATAACTGATATTAATCACGGTGATAAATCATTGTTACAGAAGCAGCATCAACGTTCGATGGGATCCAGTCAGCTCCCATCTCCATCACGGGAACCTGTGCTGCCAACACCAACATGTGCAGCGATTCTGCAACAGCTCAAACATGCATTGTACGTGACACTGTACTACCAGATCGTCATAAGTCCGCACTCTTCTCTAAACTCCCCACCTAGGGCTCCCCACTCTGCACTCTCCACCCTGCCTTCTCCAACCTAGCTCTCCACCCCTGTACCCTCCAACCTACGCTCTCCTTCCCTGTACCCTCCAACTCCTGTACCCCCCAACATTGCGCTTTCCACCCCTGCACTCTCCAACTCCTTATCTCTCCACCCCTGCACTCTCAAACCAACGCTCTCCACCCCTGCACTCTCCAACTCCTTATCTCTCCAACCTGCGCCCTCCGTCCTTGCACTCTCCAACCTACGCACTCCACCCCTGTACTCTCCAACCTACGCCTCCCATCCCTATACTCCACCCTGCCTCTCCCAACCTACGCTTCCACCCCTGCACTCTCCAACTCCTTATCTCTCCAACCTGCGCGCCTCCGTCCTTGCACTTCCAACCTACGCACTCCACCCCTGTACTCTCCAACCTACGCACTCCACCCCTGTACTCTCCAACCTACGCTCTCCATCCCTATACTTCCACCTCCTGCTCTCCAACCTACTGCCTCTCCACCCCCCTGCGCCTCTCCACCCCTGTACTCTCCAACCTACAAAGCTCTCCACCCCTGTACTTCCAACCTAAGCTCCATCCCTATACTCTTCCACCTTGCCTCTCCAACCTAGCTCTCCGCCCCTGTACCTCCAACCTACGCTTCCATCCCTATGTCCACCTGCCTTCTCCAACCTACGCTCTCCAACCAACCCTCTCCACCCCTGTACTCTCCAACCTACGCTCTCCATCCCTATACCTCCACCCCTGTACTCTCTCAACCAAAGCCTCTCCACCCTGTACTCTCTAACCTACGCTCTCCATCCCTATACTCTCCACCTTGCCTTCTCCAACCTAGCCTCCGCCCCTGTACCCTCCAACCTACGCTCTCCATCCCTATACTCCAACCAACGCTCTCCTCTCCCTGTACTCTCCAACCTACGCCTCCACCCCTGTACTCTCCAACCAACGCTCTCCACCCCCCAACCTACGCCTCCATCCCTATACTTCCACCTTGCCTTCTCCAACCTACGCCTCCCAACCTACGCTTCCACCCCTGTACCTCCAACCAACGCCTCTCCACCCCTGTACTCTCCAACCTACGCTCTCCATCCCTATACCTCCACCTTGCCTTCTCCAACTCCCTACGCTCTCCACCCCTGCGCCCTCCAACCACACCCCTGTACTCTCCAACCAACGCCTTCCACTCCCTGTACTCTCAAACCCTACGCTCTCCATCCCTATACTCTCCACCTTGCCTCTCTCCAACCCAGCTCTCTCTCACCCCTGTACCTCTCCAACCTACGCCTCCCTTCCCTGTACTCTCCACCCCTGTGCTCTCCATCCCTGCACTAATAAAACGCTCTCCACCCCTGTACTCTCCACCCTACGCTCTCCACCCCTGCACTCTCTAACCTACGCTCTCCACCGCTGTACTTCTCCAACCTTCTGCTCCCACTCCTGTACTCTCCACCCTACGTTCTCCACCCACCGCCCTCCACACCCCAGTGATACCCACCCCCTGCACTACTCCACCCTACGCACTCCACCCCTGCACTACCCACCTAACGCTCTCCACCCCCTGTACTCTCCACCCTGCCTTCTACCCTGCACTCACTACCCTCCGAATGCTCTCCTCCACTTACTTTACCTCCACCCTGTGTCTCTCCATCCCTGCATTACCAACCCTACGCTCTCCACCCTGTGCTCTCTCCAACCTGCGTTCTCCATCCCTGCACTACCCACCCTACGCTCTCCAACCCTGTACTTTCCACCCAGCATTCTCCACCCCTGTACTCTCCAACCTATGTTCTCTCCACCCCTGTATTCTCCACCCCTGCACCTCTCCAACCTACGCTCTCCACCCCCTGCACTCTCAAACCTACGCTCTCCACCCCTGAACTCTCCATCCCTGCACTCTCCAACCTACGCTCTCCACCTCATGTACTCTCCACCCACCGCACCCCTCCACCCTCCACCCTATGTTCTCCACCCCTGCGCTACCCACCACTGCACCCTCCCCCTCCAACTTTTACACTCTCCACCTCTGTACTACTCCACCCCTGTACTTCTCAACCCACGCCATCCGCCCCCTGTACTCTCCACCCTATGTTCCTCCATCCCTACGCCCTCCACCCCTGCACTACCCACACCCTACGCTCTCCACCCCTGTACTCTCCACCCCTGCGTTCTCCATCCTCCAGCTTACCCCTCTCCATCCCTGTACTACCCACCCCTGCAATACCCACCCTACGTTCTCCACCCCTGCACTCTCCACCCTAAAAATTTCCACCCCTGCGCTCTCCACCCCTGCACTATCCCACCCTACGCTCTCCACCCCTGTACTCTCCACCCCTACGCTCCCCCACCCCTGCACTCTCCACCCTATGTTCTCCACCCACCGCCTCCACCCTATGTTCTCCACCCCTGCTCTCTCCGTCCCCTCTAGCTTACACCTCTCCACCCCTGTACTACCCACCCCTGCCTATCCACCTCTACCCCTGCACCCCTGCACTACTCCACCCAACGCCTGCCCCTGTACTCTCCACCCTGCCCTCTACCCCGCACTACCCACTCTACGCTCTCCACCCTGCGCCTCCACTCCCTACAGTCCCCAACCATACCCCACGCAGCCCCGCCCCTACGCTCCCCGACCTTGCGTCCCTATCCCCAGTCCACCCCTTGCCCGCTAGCCAAACCTTTTTAAGCAAACTCTATATTACTACAACAGGTTGCTTTAAAGGTGGTCAGTTAGAGTATAAGTAAACGTGATACAACAGATTTACTCATTTAATTGGGGCATAAACTTTTAACAAACGTACAGTTACTTTTCGGAAACATCCTGGTATCTCATTGTATGTTCACACATTGTACCCGTGTGAGTAATGGAACTCGGGAGTTTGGCCTGAGGAGCGAACGCTTTAACCACTAGGCTAGCCAACCGCCCCTGCTATAGCAGGCTCACTACCGCGCTGACTCATCCAACATATACATTGTAACATCATCTGTTTCAGGGCGATGCAGGAGGCCCACTGATATGCCCTGACCAGACAGGTCAGCTGATTACAGCTGGACTTGTTGCCGACATGCCGCCAGTGTGTTCCGGCCCTCCAGAGTTCATCAGTCTCTTGCCTGATACATTCGACTCCTCTGTACTCCCAGCTTATTAAATACACTCCGTGTCACTTGTCGCTTGTCATTTTTATCTCCAGTTTGAGTGAGTGAGTGAGTGAGTGTGGTTTTACGCCGTTTTAAGCAAAGTTCCAGCAATATTCCACCAATATCACGGAGGGGGACACCTGAAATGGGCATCACACATTGTACCCATAAGGGGAACCGAACCCTGGCCTTCAGCGTGACGAGCGAAGGCTTTAACCACTAGGCTACCCCACCCCCCGGTTATCAAAAGTGAGTTAAGCTACCAGCATTGTAAGATTACGATTATGTCACAGATGTAAGTGCACTAACTACTATCAAATAGTGAGTGAGTGAGTATGGTTTTACGCCGCTTATATTCCAGCAATACCACAGCTGGGGACACCAGAAGTGGACTTCACACATTGTACCCATGCGGGGAATCGAACCAGGGTCTTTGGTGTGACGAATGGACGCTCTAACCACTAGGCTCCCCCTCTGACCCCTGTGAGAAAGCGGTGTTTGCTGGAAGGTCAGTGTGTTCTGCCTCGCATTGAGGCGCATCACAAACACTTCAACGGGCAAGTCAAGTTTCATCTGGAAAAGGACACGTAAAAAATGGTACAAGTTAAACCACGTCATTTGATTCCCGCCTCTGTGGAAGTCACAAATAGATCGGTTAATAATGCTAGAAATTATTTGTATCTCAAAGGTAAAAGATTTGCATGCACCTTGAATGAAGTTTTTTCAAAACGCAAATTGAATATTAGCATTAATTAATATGACAGACAGAAAAAAATTAAAACTCCTTCCATTTCAAATCAGTCATATTTAAGACAACCACACGATGCTCTTTGATACCATTTCATGATATTCGACAACAGTAGATTATTATCTGAATATACATAATTTTGCTTTGATAGCAGCTGGTTTGGAAGTGCTCACTACAAATATAAAGACAGTCGACATTATATTAGTCATTATTACCTGATAATTAATATGAACCCGGTCTTAGAATACTGAACGATACACTGATAGCTAGGAGAAAATTACTGCAGAATTCAAAAATTCAAATTTGGCAAATCACATACGTCATACTGTACCATGTAGATTTGTATTTATAGAATTGTAGGTCCGGAAGTGCAGAACAGAACAACATTCACTTACGGCTGCAAAACATAGCATAATGAGATAGATATAAGAGACTAATGTTCATATATATTGTGGTAGATGAAATGTTATTTAACGATTATTATTTGACGACAGATTTTGTACACAAAATTCATTTTAAATAGTTTCCTTGTTTCAACAGTATTGTCTTTTAGAATTTACCCCCGATGAGGAAAATCTCCAGATCCCTAGTTTTGGATATATTGGTTTTCAAGACAAGTTCTTTTGTCATTTAGTTCATATTTTAGATTCCACAGTATGAAAAGTCCAAATACCGTTATTACCTGTCTGGAAGAGTATACTTTCCTTCGGGTACTCAAACAGCACAGTACCTTAGTGGACATTTAACAAATATTGAAAAGAATGATCTTATTCCAACACAAGCTTACAAAGTCGCGGCATACCCACTTTAGTGTTCCTGAAGTCATCGTAAAGCCATTTTAAGGTGACCTCTCAGCCAATGCATTTTCACTGTGTGGAAACCTCACAGACCATATCCAGTCCCTGCCATTAAAACACCTGTTGCTATGAAAGAACACAGAGATATTTGCCTTCACTGAACAAACACTCGTACAGCTGATTACTGTGTACATTAATGCCAGACAAACTCAACAGGTAAACAAAAGCATATACTTCTGTTTGTTATTGGTTCGGCGTTCCTAACACACCTGGTGTGGGATTGTCACAGACTGGTAACATACGGTAATTGACAGGAGAGGAGTGTGGATTATATATATGTTTTTATATGCTGGAGTCATTTCTATACAATATATGTATACGGAAACCACGTCCCCAGAGTAACTGTCCATGTCGTTTGCCCAAATCACTTCCATCCTCCATAATACAGTAAGGCAGGACATGCTGACCCTGGTGTCATCACTATTTTCATTACTCCATTCATATAATTTCACAGCTATTTATCTCTTTACAGCAAACGGACTTTGTGGGATAGGACTGGGTATTCTTTCTTTCTATATTTCTATCAATGCAACGACCATTCGCTACCTCAGTTTCATGTTCATCCGATTCGAAGATCACGATACCAAAAATATCCGTCCAATGAAACCACTCCCGTAAGCGAAAGAAATGTTGTGCTGAGAGAATGCAAAGTATTTAGAATATTTTTATTGTTATTAAGACGGACGTGCACTTTCAAACTGAATGTGTATAAGACTTTCAAAGTTATATACACATACACGCAGAAAACTATTTTGTCGAATTTTAATCTAAATTCTGCTTTCTTTAGTTTATTGACATAGGTTGGCTTACTAATATACCTTAAGCCTTTGTATCTCGTACTTGTTCTTTGTTAGAGGGCGTAACTGTATGGCAATAGTCTGTGAAAAATCAGGTGTGGATCAGAAAATCCAGTGAATGTCGTTAGCAGCATCGATCTATACTACTGGGATGCGATGACATGTGTCAACCAAGTCAGTGAGCCTGACCACCCGATCCCATTAGTCCTTTAACAAGCAGGGGTTGCTGAAGACCAATTCTAACCAGGATCTTTAAATAACATTGAGATGTAGGTGTGATCTGCTGTTTGTCATCCATCGGGGAATACTGTTTTATGAACTCTGTGTATAAGGTAAATATCATACATTTGGCAAGACTTTTACCAAAAACGTCTCTCAACGAGACGTCAGCATAAATCGACAACGAAACACAATACGCCAATACAAGAGAAAAGTCTCGATTATCCGGCGGAACAGATTCAGCTGGGCGTGGAATGAAAAAGAGCGTTCAGAATTATATGAATGTATCACTTAAACACTGTGAAGACACTAGATATTATTCCTCCCTTATATCATTTCAAATATGAACATTTCAAAAATTAAGTTCTTTTTAGTCTCCTAAAATGGCATTGTGTATTTCATTCACTCCTCAAATGAATATAAAAATCTGATGGTTTCTTTCTTTGGCAAATACAACCTGTTGGATCGTCTCAAATGTCAATTTAATAGATGAATGATCAGACTGGTACAAATGTACAAATCTTAATTTTGTAACAAACGGATATTTGGTACATAAACTTGAAGTACTGTAAAGTTAGGGTTGATGGGAAAATGAAAAAAGATATGAATAGATCGATTTGCAACATATGTTATATTTGGGATTACACTTTCTTAGTAAAGTACAAATTCTAGTACTTTTTGGATTGAGTCCCATCCGGGATTCGAACCCATACCCTCAGAGTCAGGCACCAAATCGCCAGCACACAAAGTCAGCCGCCTAACCCGCTCAGCCACCGCGACTTCCACAGGAATGGAAGTCGGACAACTGGTAGTCTAGACTGAGGACTTTGTGTACCCCTCTGATAAGTGTAAATTGGCACGGCTCCCACGGCCGAAAGCTATGATTACACAATGCCATTTAGAAAGTGGTCAAATGCAACAAAACTACCAGTTGTCCGACTTCCATTCCTGTGGAAGTCGCCGTGGCTGAGCTGGTTAGGCGGCTGACTTTGTGTGCTGGCGATTTGGTGCCTGACTCTGAGGGTGTGGGTTCGAATCCCGGATGGGACTCAATCCAAAAAGTACTAGAATTTGTACTTTACTAAGAAAGTGTAATCCCAAATATAACATATGTTGCATTTGACCACTTTCTAAATGGCATTGTGTAATCATAGATCGATTTGGGCTGATCGATTTTCACAACAAGTAGACCAAGCTTTATCACTGTGTTTGTTTACCCGTCTGAGAAATGTCTTTACAAATTTGGTGAAATCTTTCGACCAATACAGATTGCTAGGGATTGATATTAACCAGGAATATCCCACAGGATTATTATCATATTCATTTTATGTTTTACAGATTACAAATATACGTATGCAGCAGGGAGGGTTCGGGTGGACCATGGCTGGTAAGGCTCATAATTTTAATATCGTTATCAGAATTATTATTACAGACCTTGCATTATATACATGCAGCAAAAAAGTATCAGGTGATCCTGGCATATCATTAGAATAATCATCATCGAAATTATTATTGTTTTTATAATCATGTTTTAATGTTTGTATAAACTTAATGCAGCAAAAAGGTTTCGGGTTATCCTGGCATATCATTAATATAATCATTAATATCAGCATCTTCAACTGGACACATAATTGTGTGTACACGTGTACTTTATAACTAAGATCTAGTTTACTACACTGTCAGTATGTATTCATAGTTTACTTCACTTCAAAAACACTCACATACCCTACATACGGTGTGAACTGTTTCCCGTGTGCCATGTGATGACTTGTAGAAAAAGTTGGAAATGAAATCTGCAAATATTACAAACAAATATTGGACTTAATGCTATTGGTCCTGACGTCACACAACGTTTTAAGGGAACAGTATATAATGCTCGACTTTGCCAGGAGCACTGAAAGGACGAGAGAACTTTTCAAAATGATGTCAGGTATTGTTCTCGCTGTGGCTGTTCTGGTCGGCACAGCCAGTGCATGCAGTAAGTCACCTCTTGTTTGTTTGTTTGTTTGTTTGTTTAACGCCGCACTCAGCAATATTCTAGCAATATGGCGGCGGTCTGTACATAATCGAATCTGAACCAGGCAATCCAGTGATCAACAGCATGAGCATCGATCTATGCAATTGGGATACGATGACATGTGTCAACCAAGTCAGTGAGCCTGACCACCCGATCCCGTTAGTCGCCTCTTACGGCAGGCATAGGTTACTGCAGATCAATTCTAACCCGGATCTTCACGGGTTGGATTGTGAACTGGTCAGGGTTTCACAGTACACTTGTAATGGTCAGAGTAACCCAGAAATAAATACTCTTGGCACTTTCCGGCAAAAGCTAAAGCATTGTATTGCCACTTATTTTCCTATTCAAAATACTGACGCCGAAAATCGATGACATGGCTTAGGGGCGCAGATCCAAACTCGAAACAATCTAATTGTGTGTTGCTCCAAACGGCAGTATGTAAATAACCTTGTCTGGACCAAGTAAATAACCTGATCTGGACCAACTTAATAACCTTGTCTGGACCAAGTAAATAACCTTGTCTGGACCAAGTAAATAACCTTATCTGGACCAACTTAATAACCTTGTCTGGACCAAGTAAATAGCTCTGTATGGACCAAGTAAATAACCCTGTATGGACAAAGTAAATAACCTTGTCTGGTCCACGTAAATAGCCTTGTCTGGACCAACTAAATAGCCTTGTCTGGACCAAGTAAATACCCTTTGTCTGGACCAAGTAGATAACCTTGTCTGGACCAAGTAAATAACCTTGTCTGGACCAAGTAAATAACACTGTCTGGACCAACTATATAACCTTGTCTGGACCAACTAAATAGCCTTGTCTGGACCAAGTAAATACCCTTGTCTGAACCAAGTAGATAACCTTGTATGGACCAAGTAAATAACACTGTCTGAACCAAGTAAATAACATTGTCTGGACCAAGTAAATAACATTGTCTGAACCAAGTAAATAACATTGTCTGGACCAAGTAAATACCCTTGTCTGAACCAAGTAAATAACCTTGTATGGACCAAGTAAATAATACTGTCTGAACCAAGTAAATAACATTGTCTGGACCAAGTAAATAACATTGTCTGAACCAAGTAAATAACATTGTCTGGACCAACTATATAGTCTTGTCTGGACCAAGTAAATAACTTATCTGGACCAAGTAAATAACCCTGTATGGACCAAGTAAATAACACTGTCTCGACCAAGTAAATAACCTTGTCTGGACCAAGTAAATAGCCTTGTCTGGACCAAGTAAATAACCTTGTCTGGACCAAGTAAATAACCTTGTCTGACCAAGTAAATAACCTTGTCTGAACCAAGTAAATAACCTTGTCTGAACCAAGTAAATAACATTGTCTGGACCAAGTAAATAACATTGTCTGGACCAACTATATAGCCTTGTCTGGACCAAGTAAATAACTTATCTGGACCAAGTAAATAACCCTGTATGGACCAAGTAAATAACACTGTCTCGACCAAGTAAATAACCTTATCTGGACCAAGTCAATATGACATGTATCTTGTTAGGTGTATTATCACCTTTGGTCAGCACGTGATTCGAGACGTTTTGTGCTTTCTCTACATACTAGTTTAAATATTTAGCTCGTATTTACTCAATCCATGATTGCACCAGTCTTTTACATTTCTTTTCAGTATATGACTGCGACTCTTTGTTTGGCGCCGCGCTCTGTCCTGAGTGTAGCGCAACGACGACCGAAACGCCACCTCCCCCTCCAAGTTGTATAGCTAACAACTTCGACCGAGCCTGTTGTGCCGCTGGTCAGTACATGAACGGGGTGTGGTGGGCGGGGAGGATTTTAAACAAAATTCACAGAACCTTCCGTCATAAAGTCGATCCCAACGAAAGAAAATTCAATGTTTACTGAAGAATCAACTTTAATATTTGCACAAAAAGCGGGGTTTAAATCTCAGTGTGCAGCTTTTTTGCGTATTTTGAATGTGTTTGTTTTTCGACGCTCGCTTTATGGACATTGTGTCATGGTAAAATTTGTGTCGGCTGTTTCAATTTCAACTTTGTAGATATACCATAGTTCTCTGGCTAAGCATCAAATTCGTGCAGAGTTGTAGGACATTTGTCTTGGTAAAAGCAAGATGTTAAGGTCATTTGGTGATATGGGAATCAACATAATGCGATGAAATATTGCTGGATACCGGTGTCTACTGCTGAGAAACTGCGTTCTACTATTTGATGCTAATTAGGCCAAGAAGTTGCAATGAGCGCCATACTGGTAACTGAAGCACTCTTCCACTTTGGAAACTGCTAAGTAAGAAATGATGTTCATTATAAAAGTTAAACAAAAACTGTCAAGTCGCCTTTTTTCAAAAACCTGAACTAGTTATTTCTTTCCTCTTACAGATCCATCCACATGCAACGGTGTTGACTGTTCGTGTGAGCTTCCAGACTCCCCATACTGTGCAATCTGTAAGTTGTGTTTGTTAGTTTGTTGTTTTACGTCACACTCAACCATATTCCAACTATGTAACAGCGGTCTGTAAATAAACGAGTCTGGACCAGACAATCCAGTGATTTACATGACGTATTTGGGGAAACGATGACACGTCTACCTGATCCCTCTTGTTAGTCGCCTCTAACGACAAGCATAGTGAGTGAGTATGGTTTTACGCCCCTTTTAGCAATATTCCAGCAAAATCACGGTGGGGGATACAATGGGCTTCATATATTGTACCCATGTGGAGAATCGAACCCGGGTCTTCGGTGAGACGAGCGAACGCTTTGACCACTAGGCTACCCCATCGCCCCGGTCCAAATTAGAAAGTAGGTGCTGCAATAGTGGGGTTTAAACAACTCAGTGCACACCTGTCGACAGCACTTCAGCCACGACGTCCACGTAGATGATTCAAGTATTTCAAAACAAAGTATTTGCAATGAAATTTCAAAAACGCCTTAATCTGGTGTTTAGTTTTACAGTTTATTACTAATATAGCTATTTGACATCTATTGGCATATATTAAATATTTCAAGTGGGACAAAAATAGGATAAGATAGGGGTAAAGTGTAAGAAAATGATCATGAATTTACAATCGAAATTGATATTGTTTTTCTTTTGAAACTTTCAGTCCAATGTACCCTGTATGCCGATTTTTGTTCACAATGCTTCATACCACCTACTACAACCACGACAGTACCAACGACGACAACCGTAGCTGTACCTGTCTTCTGTCTAGGTGGTGGACGTGAGTGTTTTAAATCAAAACAATCCCCTTGCCTCTGATCATGTGAAGTTTAGATCTAGCATCTTACAGGCTAATTGCCTCTGTCTGATTCAGTGATCGGGGACATGTGGGCCCGCCTTAGGATTTAAGGCACCCGAAAACTGCATCTCTTTGTCTGAATTGCCTATTGAGGTCACGCAAGTATGTTTATTTTGGGGTTGTTTTCTGTTCTGGTGGGATTTGCTAGTCGCGTTTTGTCTCCCTGAGTTGTCCCAGGATCAGAAGTCTGACCTATTTATAACCATTCTCATATCAGCACTATATTCGTTTATTCAAAAGGACGTCAACGATCCGTTAGTTTTTTCCGTATTTTTTATTTTCTGCAATAAACAACGAAATACTGCTCAAACAAGGTTGAATACTCAACTCAACATTCCTGATTTCCAGTTTACTGTGCCTTTGATTTCTGTTGTCCTGCCGATGCCTGTGCACAACATGAAAACTGTTTCGGTAAGTGTATGTTTCCTTCTTCTCCGCAGGTATAATGCATTAGTCAGAATATGCACGTGTTGTTTTACTTTTGGTTTTCAGCATTTACAAACTATATTCAACACTGAACAAATATATGAAAAGGTGAACAGATCTGTTTTTAGGGGTGAAAAACACATTTTTGAGTGACACTGTTTTCAGTTATGGGTAACGTTATCAAGCAATTCCAATGTATCACACTTCAACCTGTTTTACAATGAAATGTTGCAGCATTGGTTTTGGTCACATGGAGCAAATTCATGTAATAATCTATGTATATATAACATCTGAATTAGCCATACCCTCCTTAACGGGTTGAATAAACACTCATTCTCAGTCAGCGTGAACATATGTGATCATGGGACTCGGTAAAAATAGTGTATCTAAACACAATTTCTTCGATATGACAACAAGAAGTATGATTTACTTGGCCTATATATACGGCAGTTACTAGCAATGGGGGTATTTTGTCGTGTATTTTACGTCACACAAAATGATTTAATGTTAGAAATATGAAAAACAATAATACAACTTCTTTTGATTGTTTGCTAAAATCCTTTAACAAACCAAAGACTTTGGTTACTTTCAACACAAATAAATCAAAAGAGTAATCAGATGTTACATAGAATTTTACCGTTATATTGGCAATTGATGAAACTTCAAACAAGAATTTCCAAATAGAATCTCAAACTAACAATGAAAGCCTTAATCTGGCATTTCTAGAATAAAAGACAACGTCAAGGAGTAATGCGACCTGGAAACATATTTAGTTGTTCCATTATTTGTTATCAAATGTATAATGTTAGGTAAGGAATATTTAATACGACTGTAACGTAAAATACTGCCAAACATAACTGTTGCAGCTTTTGCCATTTTCAGAACACTACAAATACAAATAATTAATCACATATCTTTAAGAAACGTTTAGTAACAAATGTTGGATAATATACTAGGCATTTCTGTTCATTTAACGCCAGTAAAATCTAATTGTATTTAAAGTTACAGCAACTGTAAAAGCTTCAGATCATGAGCAGCACGCACATTGAAGTCAGCATGAATGAAGCAACTACATGTTTTCATGGCGTCATCAAATTTGTTAGTGACGTATGCACATTATGTAGTCATAAATAGCCATATATGGAACTGTACCGTTACGTAGAATACGTAACGTAAAATACATCCGTCATTATTATGAGCCACGCAAGTGAACAAATGAATATAGGAGACGGGAAAATGAACTAGGTTGCATACTCCTTACCAGATGATCACACAGATGTGCTCAGGTATGTATAGTATGACCAGAAATTATTGAGAATTTTAGGAATATGTTTAATTGGATTTCTAGAACATACAACCTTGACCAGCTGTCAAGTGCTTGGTTTCATTCAAGAGAGACAACTCTGTTAGTCCTTTTTCATTAGTTTGTGAAGAGTTATCCCCCTTTGTTTACTTGCTGGCATTATAACAAGGATATCAGATCAGTAAAAGTGATTTCAAGTAGAACAGGCATCCCTTTGTCCATTGTTTATCGCGTTTTGAAAAATATTGCAAATGGATATGGCATTGAGCACCAGGGAGGCGCAGGTAGGCCCAGAAAATTGACTGTCGGTCACAGGAGGCGGCTTGGTATTCTTGTTTCTAAAAACAAACGAAAGAGTTTAGAAAACTTAAGGCTGGATATGATTGATAAAGGAACTGTTGCTGTCTGTAAGGAGACAATTAGAACTGAGCTGCATGCAATGGGTTGGCAGAAAAGTCGAGGAATTCCATCACCGATCATGAAACCTGAACAAAAGGTGGGAAGGTTGAACTGGTGCTTACAGCATAGAAATTTTAACTGGGACAATGTGATTTTCTCAGATGAAAGTTCTGTGTGGCTGTTTCCTAATACACTGAAATTCTGGACCAACAAACTGAAAAACCTTTGTATCAGCGCCCAAAGTACAGTCCGAAATTTAACGTGTGGGGTGGCATATCTGTGTTAGGGGCAACGCCCCTCTGTGTATTTGAAGGGAATATGAACAGTGAGCGGTACACAGATATTCTCCGACCGCCTCCCTGGTGTAGTGGTTAGAGAGTCCGCCCGGAGAGCGGAAGGTCGCGGGTTCGATCCCCGACCGGGTCATACCAAAAGACGTTAAAATATGGTACTTGTTAGTCCCTGCCTGGCACTCGGCATTAATAGGTACAACAAGGACTGGTCGGCTCGGAGTCAGTATAATGTGTCTGAGTGGGGTATTCATGCTTCACTGCGGCATAGTATCTCAGTGGGCTAGCACTATAAAACCAGCCAAAGTCTGGGCTAGTACAAGCAGCCGCACATACACATACACACGCCTGCACGTCGTCATATGAGCGAAATATTCTCAAGCACGCCGTTAAACTCAATTTCACCTCACCTCAGAAATTCTCCAAGGACATTTACTTCCATCTACTCACGTGTTCTATGGAAATGTTTTGATTTTCCAGCAGGACAACGACCCAAAACATCGTTCAAAGCATTCACAGGCCTGGTTTCGGACCCAAAATATGACATTATTAGATTCGCCAACCTAAAGCCCTGGCCTAAATCCAATAGAAAATGTTTGGGAACTTATGAAGGAAAGTGTCAATAAGCAAAATCTGACAAATATTGCTGAAATGAAAGAAGAGGTGGTCCGATATTGGGACAGCATGGACCACGACTTTCTAACTTCTTTGATCAGTAGTATGCCCCGCCACATTGAAGCCTGCATTGCTGCCAATGGTGACAAAATACTAACTGTTCACCTGTCTTTGAATCTGGAGTTATGTTCTGCTAATATTCACATTAATACGTGAGTAATGAGTGAAAAAAATAAACAATTTACAATCTTTAAATTCTCAATAATTTCTGGTTGTACTGTATAAGGTCCTATAACGTCGTAAAGTAAAATACACCCTTAACTCTACTGTTTATGATTGTGTCTTCCCAACATATTCAACAAGTTATTACAACTAATGGATTTGATGTTCAATGTCTGCAATAAAGCATGAGCGATTACTTTCTTAAAGTTACTGAATGTATTCGTTTCTCTTCTGATATTGTTTTCTGTCCTTTGGACCATAACGTAAAATACCAAAGAATTGGCGACAATGGAATTTAATTAGAATTTGACGAATACCCGCAAATATTAGGTTAAATGACTGCCTCACAGTAAAGTTCAGCATATCTTCAATATTATGCACGAAAAGACAACATGCACTATGAATAGTGTTACTTTTGATGCAACAAATATATGATATATACATCGTCGATGGCGACATGCAACTTTTAGGTGAGGTGAAATTGGGTTTAACGTCGTGCTTGAGAATATTTCGCTCATATGACGACGTACATGCGTGTGTATGGGTATGTGCGGCTGCTATTATATTGCGTTGGTAGGAAACCATTTTTGTAGCATATCAGCAATATGTAATGTTGCCAACTGTAGTCCCAGAGACAACAACGGAAGAGGTAACAACAACTGAGGTGCCAACGACAACAGAGGAGGCAACAACGACGGAGGAGGCTACGACAACGGAGGAGCCAACGACCACAGAGGAGCCAACAACAACCGAGGAACCCACGACAACCGAGGAGCCAGAGGAACCGCCAACAACATCGGAAGAGCCCACGACGACTGAGGTACCCACAACGACTGAGGAGCCCACGACGACCGAGGAGCCCACGACAACCGAGGAGCCTACGACGACCGAGGAGCCTACGACGACCGAGGAGCCAACGACGACCGAGGAGCCAACGACGACCGAGGAGCCCACGACAACCGAGGAGCCTACGACAACCGAGGCGCCAACAACAGCTGCCCCTGTGACAAGTAGGTACTCGTGAGTGAGTGAGTGAGTTGGATTTATTGTCTTTTTCAACAGTATTCCAGTCTCATCCCGGATGTATGCTTGTGCAAGGTAAGACCTAAATGATGTAGGTTTCACACGTTTGCCATTTTGGTGAAACCCACAAGGATATTTCTAGGTTTGTCAGCACCATAGCCAATCACAACGAACAGGGATACGAACCCACTATTACATGTTTTTGACGCGCAATAATGACTGAGCACTGACCCCTTGAAGAAAAGCTACAATTTAAGTACGACATTAATCCACTCCATTCAACATCCAGTCATTGTTCTTCCGACAAACAGAAATACAATGATAGTGTTCTCCTCACGACTTTTCCAGGGTGTGCCTACAATGACTTCTTGACAACAACAAGGATATTAGGTGGAACTCAAGCAACATCATGCCAGGACGCACCAGGATTTGTCAGTATCAACGTTGAAGTTCCCGGTAGTGATCCTCTGCCTATCTGTTCTGCTGTCTTAGTCTCAACCGACACCGTCTTCACTTCCGACTTCTGTGTTGCACAGCTGGCTGCGATTCCAGAGTACGTGCAGTTACTGCAGCTACATGAGCATCTGGTTACATTAGTTCCTGTTGATAGTAGACCCGTGAAGATCCTGGTTAGAATTGGTCGCGGTTAGGGTGGTCAGGCTTGTTGACTTGGCTGACACATGTCATCGTGTCCAAATTGCGTAGATCGGTGCTCATGCTGTTGATCACTGTCTGGTACAGGCTCGATTGTTTACAGACCTCTGCCATATAGCTGTAACATTGTTGAGTGCGGCGTTCCTGTGTGAGTGAGTGAGTCTACCCCACCACCAGGGGCGTAGCTATCATTATGATAAAAGCCCGGGTTTAAACATGGTTTTGCTCTACAAAAATACCTCCAAACCCGTGATCAGAATAATTTAAAAATTATGTTTGAATTAATGGTATACTATGTTTTCCTCATGATTTTATTCCTCATATATTTAAATATTGATAAGATAACATTTTGAAGCTATTGAAATCATGAAACGTGAGACGATAACACTTCTGGCCCCGATTTCTCAAACAAACAACTAAAGTCTGAGTTTTGACTTAACTTAGAGATTTTACTCAAATTTGAGAAACGCTGGGGAATGCATTTCCCAGAATGAACTGAAATCGATATCAAACCCAAACAAAGTAGACAATTTGAGTTTTGTAGTTAAATTACTTAAGTTGTTTGGGCTTTTTTATTTTTAAAAGTTAAAAATTCAGCTGTTTCAAATTGTCAAACTCAGTTTGAAATTTGAGATGGTATGTTCCCCTCATAACAATTAAAGGTGTATGTGAAAGATGTTTTTAGAACAATAACTAGAAAAACTGAAACATCGCTGTGTAGTATTTCAATGACGGATCAGAACGGATCAAAGTTTGTTTCGAGAATCGGGGCCAGGTCTCATAAACAATGAAAGTTGGGCAAGCCCTCAATACTATCTAATGTAAAGCTTTGCAACCTATCGGGCTTACGCGACACAATTGGGTTGGTACACGCCTGACCACGCCAGTAAGGACTGAGGATGGGGTCGCGTCATGATGTGTCTTGGATGTACCAGACGCATGGGTTCACACGTGTCTGTTATGCACAGGGCACATGATGACAAAACGTAGAGAAGAAACGCAGTTTGTGAAATCGTCTGGTCATTTATTTCAGAGTATTCACTGTTGCTGTCAATGACTTTAACGGCAATAAAGTGGCCGAAATTCCAGGAAGGACAGGAACAGGTGAGAAACCGTCTATGCTAGCGTTTACAATTAACAACAACCCGCCACCATATAGCTGGAATATTGCTGAGTAATATCAGATAAACAACAAAGGTAACTGTTGTCAACTGTTTCTAGGATTGTTTCCCAGTCTACCATCATACATAACAAAATCACACAAGGAGCATCGCGTACAAAAGGTGAAACTATTTCCGGACTACGCAAAAGCCTTGACATGTGTGGTTTCCTTCAGACGGCCAGTTTACTCTTGACGCTCCCGTGACCTTTGATGGAACCAGTTGCCTGTTGCCTGCCTGTATTGCTGACGACACAATGGAGCTAGACATGACATCCTGCACAATGTTCGGCGCTGGAGTCCTTGACCGTACGTCTCATCCAATCGTCCATTTTGCCAAATGTTTTTTGGTCACATTCTCAAAGTGGCCAAATGTGACTATTAGTTTTACTTTTACCCAGGTCAGGATAGCTATGAGTGGGTGAGTATGGTTTTACGCCGCCTCTAGCAATATTCCAGCAATATCACGGCGGGCAACGCCAGAAATGGGCTTCACACAGAAATGGGCTTCCAACCTGGGCCTTCGGCGTGACGAGCGAATGCTTTACCCATAAGGCTACCCTACCACCCGACAAGTTAAAACCAACAATCGCAGAAAACGTACATTAAAATTAGATTTTCTACCAGAAAAATTATATGCAATTATTAATAGGTTTGCAGTGGCTCATGGGAGGACCCGCCTGGGTATTTACCAAAAAGAGTTTAATTGTCAATAAAATGTTCGTGAATAAGAATTATAATAATGCTTGTGGGGAGATTAGGAAATTGTTGTAAACCAAATGAATCGATTATTAAGAGATAGTTTGGTTGGGTTCTTCACAAAATAGTTTTAACTAAAACTATATCTGATTTCAAATCCTCGGTCCCTTGTACTTTGCTTCTGTTGTATCTCTGAAAGAGGATCCATGGATGGATGGCTGTTCGTGATGTCAATCACTGGTAACAGTGATCAATATGAATAACAACCACCATTCATGAGAGGAGTTTAAATAATAACAGAAGATGGCATTATAACAACATGGGCGGAAGATACATTCCCCACTTGAAATAAATACTCTTTGATTTCATTGTTACAGAAGGAGCATCAACGTTCCAAAATATCCAGTCAGCATCCGAGATGGATATTAATCACGCTGATTGATCATTGTTACAGAAACAGCATCAACGTTCGATGGGGTCCAGTCAGCTCCCATCTCAATCACGGGAACCTGTGCTGCCAACACCAACATGTGCAGCGATTCTGCAACAACAGCTCAAACATGCATTGTACGTGACACTGTACTACCAGATCGTCATAAGTCCGCACTCTTCTCTAAACTCCCCACCTCTGCACTCTCCACCCTGCCTTCTCCAACCTAGCTCTCCACCCCTGTACCCTCCAACCTACGCTCTCCTTCCCTGTACACTCCAACTCCTGTACCCCCCCAACATTGCGCTTTCCACCCCTGCACTGTCCAACTCCTTATCTCTCCACCCTGCGCCCTACACCCCTGCACTCTCCACGCCTGCACTCTCCAACCAACGCTCTACATCCCTGTACCCTGTACTCTCCTACCTACGTTCTGATTATCTCCGTAAATGTATTACAATCAGAAGTAATAATGCAGCATTTTACAAAATTGTTTCCTCATGCGATGTCTCCATGTATATGGGCCGGTGGCCTTACATACAAATAAACATATTTTGACTCTGACTTTGACTACCAGAACGTCTTAAGTCGATCACTTTCCTCCTCCGCTCTCTTCTCTAAACTCGAAACCCTTGGCTCCCCACCCCTACTCTCTCCACCCCTACACTCGCTCACTCTCCCCAACCCACGCTATGCTGCCCCGACCCTATCCTGTCCCACCCTAGGCTCCCAACCCCTACCCTCTCCTCCGCTACGCTTCCATACTGTACCCTCTCCACCCCTCTCTCCTCACCCCTACCCTCCCCACTCCGCATCCTGTGATCACCACCTATCATCTCCACCCCTGCGCTTCCCACCACTACAACTCCACATCCATACCCTCCCCACCCTAACCACCCCACTTCCCACCCTGCAATCACCATCTATCGTCTCCACCCATACGCTCTCCATCCTTCGCCCGCTAATCAAATCTCTTGAAGCATACTCTATATTAATATGGGTTGCTTTAAAGTTGATGAGTTAGAATAAAGTAAACGTAATACAACAGAATTACTGGGGGATTAACCTTTGACAAACGTACAGTTACTTTTCGGAAACATCCTGGTATCTCACTGTATCTTCACAAATTGTACCCGTGTGAGTAATGGAACTCGGGAGTTTGGCCTGAGGAGCGAAGGCTTTAACCACTAGGCTACCCAACCGCCCCTGCTATAGCAGGCTCACTACCGCGCTGACTCATCCAACATATACATTGTAACATCATCTGTTTCAGGGCGATGCAGGAGGCCCACTGATATGCCCTGACCAGACAGGTCAGCTGATTACAGCGGGGCTTGTTGCCGACATGCCGCCAGTGTGTTCCGGCCCTCCAGAGTTCATCAGTCTCTTACCTGATACATTCGACTCCTCTGTACTCCCAGCTTATTAAATACACTCTGTGTCACTTGTCGCTTGTCATTTTTATCTCCGGTTTGTGTGAGTTAGTATGGTTTTACGCCGTTTTCCAGCAATATCACTGAGGGGAACACCAGAAATGGGCATCATATAGTGTACCCATGTGGGGAATCGAACTTGGGCCTTGGGCGTGACAAGCGAACGCTTTAACCACTAGGCTACCCCCAACGCTCCGCACAGCGACGAGAGCGAGCTGTACGTCTTCACGATTGCTTACAGAATGGAAAAAAAAAATTAAAATGATGTGCACAGCACTGCATAAATTTAACGGACATGCACCGTTTTTATTGAGTCTCGTGTAGCAGGATTTTTGAATTTAGAATAATGTGACCCTCGTCCACTCTCGTTGATATTTATCTTCACGCCTTCTGTCAAATATACACGGATCTTCACGGGTGGTGAAGTCATAAAGAACAGATGCTGGACACAATGGATGCAAACAATCACGATAAACAGACAACAGATCTTTGACTGATGGATCTGGAGGGTGTGGAAATAAGTAGGGCACCCCAGGGACACACATATTCAACTTAGGGCTCAGACACCATGTGGTGTTTGGACTATTAGAACAAACTAAACACCGTCTGGTTCGTTCATTATGATGAATGACTGTATCGAATGATCTCCCGCAAAATCATACGGCTGGAACTTGCTAAAACAAACAGTGATCCAGATGTTATTGTGGGATATTCCTTGCAGGGTACTATAGAGTACTTGAGTAGGGTTAATTTTTACGCCGTACTCAGCAATATTCCTGCTATATGGCGGCGGTCTGTAAATAATCCAGTCTGGACCAGACAACCCAGTGATCAACAGCATGAGCATCGATCTACGCAATTGTTATAAGACGACATGTGTCATCCAAGTCAGCGAGCCAACCCACCCGATCCCGTTAGTCACCTCTTACGACAAGCATGGGTTACTGAAGATCAATTCTAACCCGGATTTTCACGGGTTGGGTATTTTAGATGAAAAAGGAGCTCACGTGTGTGTAAGCAGTGGCATGGGGAGTGAAAACAGAAGTCACCGTTTTACAGAAATCAGCGCTGCCGCTACGAGTGTCGAGTCGTAAGTTGAGTTGATGTATGATGAATACAATCACCTTAGCGCTACGATCGCTTTTTGAAACGGAGCCTTGTTGAGTGATTGGGCTTATTCTTTGGTCAACAACAGAGTGTTGGTGGTGCGTTCAAGGACAGAACCATCAGTCCTGGGTGAATTTGTTTGAAGCAATAAAGCCAGACGATCATTTGATAAATGTTTGATCCGGTTCTGCTTCCTTCTGAAACACTGCAGAGGTACAGGTAAGTTGCGTATCTGCGTAAATTAAGCAAATATTTATGTGAAAACTCAATTCCTGTTATGTCTGTTGCGTACAAGTACGCCTGAATTTTTTGAATACTCAACAAATTTGATTTTACATAAGTACACAATTTCACTCTTCGGGAGGTTACGGAGCTCGGGGATAGTTAAAAGGATTGAGGTAAATTGAGAGGTTCTATTTCATCACATGCACTTGGCAACTTGCAGTCTTTCTTATCATTTCTCATATTACACGTCAACCAACATTTAAACTTTATTATGTTTTTACAATTAATGGAAAACAGCAAAATATCGTATTGAGTTTGAGGTGGGTGGGTACAATTCATTTCGTTACTCAAAGGAAAATTAGGATACCCAATTGAGATGAACACAAGCGCGTACATAACTCAATGACCCAAAACGTTATCTGTAGCTCTGAACAAGTTGCGTACCAATGCCATTTTAGCCTTCATTTATCAATTCTAAAACAATATCTGCAAATCATTAAAGAGACACTTAGAGCATTGGATTTTCATTTGGGCATGGCACTAATACAAATTAAACTAACGCTAACGCTTAATTTTGATACTTACAAATACACTCATTTAAATTGAGATGGGAGCTTCAGAACCTGCACCTGAGTTGCTTCATTTAGAAATGCAGGTAAGAAAATGTACCGTTGGTCTTCAGATTTTATTTCAGATGAAACCATGTTTCAGATTATAGCGCATCCTGTGCACACTATTCTATATCGACCAAACACTATTTTATTTCTTGTGAACAACATAAAATCATTTTTTCTCCCATTTATGTTCCTTCAGCACACACATAGTGCACACACTTTATCATTTCATGTGCACGATAAAAAACATGTTTCTCCTATCCATTCAGCGCTTCCGTAAACAATAACCACACCATCCACATTCACTTCCTGTTCGTTCCTCGTATGAATACATTCAGCTCAATGTTTGGTATTAGTTGTTTTCTTAAATGTGTACTGTGAATGACACCCTTTATTGAATCATGTTTTTGCTTGTTCATATTCCTCGTGAAGGTCCGAGTTAGAATGAACCTTCAGTAACCCATGCTTGTGGTAAGAAGCGACTAACGGGATCAGGTGGTCAGGCTCGCTGGCATAGTTGACACATGCCAACCATGCCTGTTCTCAATTGCGCAGACCGATGCTCATGCTTTTGATCACTGGATTGTCTGGTCCAGACTCGATTTTAACAGACCGCCACCATATACATGTAGCTGGAATATTGCTGAGTGCAGCGTAAAACTAAACTCACTCACTCATAATATCACTTGGAATGTGTCATGATTGTTGATACTGGTTTGACGATCATCAGATTATAGGGGACGAGGCTGGTCTTGTACACCAATACGTCATTTCCACGAAATTCTTCACTGTCTCAAACGCATCGACAAAATTGAATGATAACTTGTCATAAAAGTCGTTGCTGAACAAACAAAAACGATCGTAAATGAAGCGGATAAACTCACCCCTCTGCTTGTCGTTCCATCGGCTTGCGTGAATTTTCCCAGTGCTTGCTCGTGAAATCTTATTCCTCGTGAGATCGTCATGTGTGTGTTGCACCCACGGGAAGGGCTGAAATAATAAATCCAAGTTGATTAATGCCTATCGCGTGACGTTTTAAACACCACACAAAATGGCGTAGATGAAGAAGGCATCTGACAAAAACAAGCAAATACCACAGCGCAAGGTGTAAACATGGGATTACTTGGGATTACTTTAATTACAAGACAGAAGCCTCATGGAGTTACCTCCCTTGGCTCAATAACTATAGTAGATACACATTATAGAATTATCTCCCTTGGTCTAATGAACACGATAATAATTCCAATCGCTTACTCTAGTGCCTGTCCCAATATCTACATATGCATCATACTGCTATAGCTATTGTCTACTAAATACATGTGTTAACCAAAACTGTCACACTGGTGTAACAGTCACTGTAACAGTAATGTAACAATAATATAAAATCAAGAGCTATATGATAACTAGTTAGGAACACATTCATACAGAATTGACTAATATCAATGTACCAAGTTAAAATAGTTTCACTGACAATAATCTATCACTTCAACAATTCTTGGTACTAATTCATAATTTACGGTACTTGATTATTCTGTATAAGAACTTTTCTTCAGAAGACGTTAAGTAATAACAAGGTCGTACGATTTTTACCGTACACATAACGTAGCATTCACCCATGTCTGAAATTGTAAACAAAGTATATAACGTTGAGAATAATAGTTACGGTCATATGCATGTAACCTTTGAACCACTCTCCTAGTTAGAGTTCCATGCGACCAGCATAGTACCTCTGCCACAGGGCAGAGAGATGTGAGGATTCGTCACATCTTGCACAGTCCATTCAATATATTGTACATATTTCTAAGCTCTTTTGTTTAAATAAACATCTTCGACAGTTGATTTAGTTTAACAGAGAAAATATCCTCAAACATGTAACACTATTTCGATTTGCGTAGCAATTCTTTGTTTACATAGGATGTGCAGTTCCACGTGCTGTCATCGAAGCCCAACGGACAGCAAACGATGAAGCCACTTTTATATTATAAATATGTATTGTCTTAAGTATTACTGTCGCGGTTGTAGAAGAATATCTATGTAACAATGTAAAACATTATGAAGAGCTTGCGTTAGGCCAGTCTCTTCTTGTTTATGAACAAGCGCGTTTGTTTACAAAACAAACAAGTCAAAACATTGATTACACAAAAGTCTCGTTTCCTGTTAACTGAGTTCCATCCTATTGCGCAACTTAGTACAATAACCAGTCCAGAATTTTGAGACCAATTCATTTAACTGGATACATAAATATTAATCAGTATTATTTGATAAAAATCTAAGCACGTGTATATTGCAACAGTACCCTCCTTATAATCCTTGCACATCCCATTCTTTAACATTGCACTCAGGTTACCTTAGTGACTTAAGATCATCACCGTATTGTTTTCACTGTTTTGTGAAAAGAGGCCCAGGTCATAGGCGATGATTGGAGTTAAGAGTAGCCATGTTTGTTTACCATTAGAATACAGCACCACAAACTTCAAAAACATGTCATAATACCCTTTTACGTAATTTTATGTGATTTGTTCCAAAGCACGTTCTCGAAACAATGCCCTGTGACACTGGCATAGAAACAAGTTGTCTTGCTCAGCGATTGCGTATAAGCTCCGCTCACATCTTACATCTGTACCCGCGGTGTCCTCCCATTACGCAGACAGCCAGTTCGCAGACACATTAAAACAACAACATTTACGGTTCAGTGAACAGATTATCTACTACCTGTTACCTACACATTATAATGGAATAGTCCAAATAAAAATACAGGAACAAACTGAACCAATATTATTTATTTTGAAAGATGGACGAAAAGACAGTAATTGGAATTTTTATTGCTGCAATATAAAAACAGTTTATTTTCATAAACATTTCGGTTTAACCTTCTAGTCAAACGGAAGTCGGCATCATCATATTGAAAACATTAGCTTAGCTATCAGAATTTGCGACACTGTTGTATCATATAAATCAAATGAAGACAAATGTGAACCTAAATATTATTTATATGAAATAAAGAAGTTATATGTTTTGCACACAATATTAAGATATATGGCGAGTGCACTTAATTACGATTTATT